AATCAAATTTCATTGCCAACTTCTCAATATTTAATGAAATAAAAATAAAACATAAAATCTCATTATCTTTATACTTGAGCTCTTTTTGCTTGCTTCCTCCTTTCACAAGATAGTAGCATTAAGGCCTTCTTGGCCACACTTGCTGCAGTTGATCTTGATTAAGCATCTTCGAAGTTTGTTTGGATTTGAAGGAGGTCAAACCTCATCTGGCTCCCTACATCTGAGCATCCTTGGTCTCCCAGCTTGCTTGTGATATTTGGGGGGTCTAATAGGCTGATGGTTTGTCACTGGCCAATATTCTTCACCAGCCATTGGGTTGATATAAGGCCTGTAGGCTCTTAAGAATGCTGGTTTCTTGTAACAAGAGTGAACATAGTTGTATGGATCCTCCTCTCTTCTGTATATTGCAGAAATGCCATGAGAACAAGGAATTCCAGTGAGATCCCACCTTCTACATGAACAAGTGTGGGCTGTCAAATCCACCACAAACTGTGCCCCACTAATATGCCTCACTTGATACTTCTTGTCACCAGCAAGACAAGGAATGCAAGAACCACTTTCTAATTTGTTTTTCTCAACAATTTTAAACACTCTAGGGCCAACATCAGAAGTCCACTTATCTGCAGTCTCTCTCATTCTTGCCATTCTCACCATCATATATGTCCTAATCCTCTTCATCATAGTCAATATTGGTTTATCTCTTGCACTTAATATTACACTGTTAAAAGACTCACATAGATTATTCAACAAGATATCACATTTTGATGTAGTCCTAAAATGGGATCTACTCCAATGCTTTGCAAGCTTGTCATCAAACCATCCTACTGCACTTCCATCTTCAATTTCCATCCTAGTCATATGTGCTTTAAAACCAGGAATGGTGGTTGCCCTTGCTGCTTCCCAAAGTATTTGCTTAAGTGCCATTCCATTGTGACCTTTCTTGAAATTATTATACAAGTGTCGAACACAATGTCTGTGTTCAACACTAGGAACAAGGTCTTCAACAGCTCTCAATAGACCTTTCTGCTTGTCTGACATAAAGACCCAAGAAAGCCCATTATCAATCCTCAAATCATTGATGAGTATCTCTAGGAACCAAGTCCACGGGCACCTATTTTCTATTTCAACAATGGCATATGCTATTGGATACATGCCATTATTGGCATCTATCCCAATTGCACAAAGTAATTGCCCAGGATGTGGACCTTTAATGTGGCATCCATCCAACCCCACAACTGGCCTACAACCCTGTATGAAGCCCTTCTTAAGAGCTGCAAAACACACATACATTCTGTGAAAAATAGGTTTTCCACCTTCCATCTCTGTCTTGACAACAACTGTACTATTAGGGTTTGTTCTCTTTAACTCCTCACAATAATCCCATAACCTTCTATATTGCTCCTCATAAGTCCCATCAGTCTTAGCAGCCACCAAACCTTTTGCTCTATATATTTGGTTCTTTGTGATATTTAGATTGTATTGTTTACACACAACTTCTTGGAATTTTGGCACTTCCCATTTAGGATTATCAATCAACTCTTCAGTGTACCTATGTGACAGCCAAGTAGATGTGCATAGTTTTATTTTTTTTGCCCTCGCGCATGTGTGCAAATCAGTAAGTGTCTTTACCATAAGAGTAGAACTCTCATCCACCTTAGATGCATAAATGACCCAAGGACATGGCTTCTTGCACTTCGCTTGAACTTTGAAACTCTCTCTTAGTGTGAATCTAATATCTTTTCTATTAACACAAGCATAATATCTTACTGCCTGTTTAAACTCATTCCTATTAGCAAACATCATGCCTAACCTAAATTGTGGATTCTTCATATCCATATCACTCCTAAAATGAGTGAAGTTAGGCAACTTCCTCTTTCGTGTACCACCATTTTCTTCACCCTCAAAATCTTCTTCACCACCACTCTTAAATTCATCTGAATTTTCAGACTCTGTTTCAACATCCCCAAACTCCAAATTTGGGAAGGCTGCAGTGCTACCTGAGACATTGACATTGCCTCCTTCATTGGCACATTTCTCTACAATGTCATCAAAAAGATTATCATCCTCAGCATCACTTTGCTCATAGTCAGAATCTTCATATTCAGAATCCTCATCTTCTACACCTACATCAACTAGGTTCTCAACATCCACACCTTCACCAACTTTTGGTTCTTCTTGACTGAGGCTTGATTCCACACAATTATTGATTGCAACTTGACTCTCAATATTTGGGACAAAGTTGTTATCAACTATGTACACAATTGCCACTCTATTTAGGGGCAATATAGTAACTAAAGACCAAAAATCAAAGTCATTCTTCAAATTCCTATATTCCCCTTCATTTGGCAATCTATAATAATATGTTGACGTCTTCTTGTTGTACCCTAAACTCTCAGCACAATCCTCAAGATCCCATTTTGACATCAAATCTTGATTTAAATTATCATACCAAGCCACATGCCCATCAACGTACTTCAAGTTCCCATCACATTGCTCTATAAAGTGACCCCCATGGTGAATTTCCATGGTAAATAAATCACAATCACCTACACAAACACTCAAATTAACATTTATATAAAATATAATTGTTGCAGCCGACACATTCCCACACAACAAAGTAATTGACTTGCAAAAGGACAATACACGTTAACCCAAAGCACAAAAACAACGCAATAACATATAAATAAAGCCAAAGAACATAAAGAAAGAAAAAAGGATCCCATGAATCAAATCTCCCATTGTCATATAAAAAGCAAAAACTTCAGAGATTCCCAAGTAGAAAGCAAAGCTTTACCGTAGTTTGGAGGGTTCCCAGTGACTCTGTAGTGTATAGTCGCCATCAATCCCAACATCGCTGACAACTCGCAAATATGCCTTAAAAAAAATTTGAAACCCTAAAGTCTTACAATTGTTTAGGCGTAAAAGAGCTTTTGTCTTCTGTTTTTTTTTAATAAAAAAAAGGGAAATAGAGCTTCACAGAGGTTTATATATTGGAAAGACTAAAATACCCTTTAAAATTGATGGAAAATTGGATGATGTTAAAGTTAGGTGACAAATCATGGATTATGAAAACTTTAGGTGACATTTTGCCTAATTTTTTTTTTAAAGTGACAAATTGAAACTAATGTATAAGTTCAGGTGACATTTCTACAAAAATCCCTTCTTTTAAAAGTAGAATAATCTATTTTATAATGTATTTATGAATCTTTCTCTGCTTATACTAATTTGGGAAGAGTTTTGGGTGGAGTCGGTTATAGAGGGAGGAGGGTTTCTGTTTTCCTTTTTTTTTTTTTTCTAGAATCTGGCTCAAAACGACGTCGTTTTGATGACATGTCATTTAAAAAAAAATTGAATGCGCATGGACCAAAACGACGTTGTTTTGGCCAGGCGTTTAAAAAAAAGAAGAAAAGATGTGCAACTCTTGCTGCTGCGCACAGGCCTTTCTAAGATTTGTATTTTATAATAAATATCGACACCTGGCAACCGAGAATCTCATTCGAAAATCTTATCTGAAATTTGAGATGTGAATTTTATAATAAATATGGACATGTGACAATCAAAAATCTTATCCAAAATATGAGATGTGAATTTTTATAATAAATATTGATATGTGGCAACTGAAAATCTTATCCAAATTAATTGTTTAAGTAAAAAAATAAATTAATAAAGTGAATAGAATTTGCCTTTTGTCATGGCAACGGGTGAAAACACAATAAGCCTTTTGCAAGGGCTGACACTAATTATGTGAATAGTAACAGCCATTGCTTCCCTTTGCCCTTTGTCATGACAAATAGGTGGAAGTGCTCTAAGACAACCATTTCTCATGCTTGGACTTATCAAACATGAGAAAGTACTTGATTTTCCATCTCGAAGCTTGCTTTCCCATGAACAAAACGAGACCAAATAGAATTAGAGCCCCTAATTGAAGAGAGAAGCCATTAGCTAGTTACTTATTATTTTTTAGAGGGGATCTTAAGTCTCTGCATTTATAGATTGTGCATTTACCATCATTTCATAAAATCTAGACCATCCAAATGATCCAGTGCTTGAGAGTATGCACATCATCCATTTGATATATTTATAATTCTCTTTCAATGCGACAGTGCATCCATCTCCATCCTCGCCTACCCATGTCTCTTTCAGTTCTTCCTCTTTGTCTTTGTATTCTGGTCTTTCTTTCTTCTTTTTTTCTTTTGGCTTCTTCTTCTACTTTAATGTGTATCAATTGAAGATGGGTATTGTGACCCCAGCATTGAAGAAAATTAAACCGAAATCAATTGGGTATTTTCCTGATCAATTTGGGCTTTTCTCGATGACTAGACTACAACTTTCAGATTAGCAACTTGCAATAACTTTGGGCTTTTCTCGATGACTACAACAACTTGCAGATTGGAAGATTTTTTAATTTCTCAGATTAAGGTTTATTATTATTTTTATTTTTTTTTTAAAAAGAAATGGATGTATTCTAGCTATTTTAGGCTTTTTAACAAATCATAATTAATACTGATGGAAGGAAAACAGGATTACTAACCCAAAAAAGGAGTGAGGACGACATGAGAAAGAAGATGAGTGCACAAGTTGAGAGGGAGGAGGAAGATATCAGTAACGGCGTCCGTTTTATATAAAAAGGAAATAAACTTATTGTAAGTGATGTGGCATTCTCATAAGCATTGGATTAGTTGAATGATCTAGATTTTATGAAATGTGAGTAAATGCACCGTCTTTAAATGCAGAGGCTTGGTATGAGGTTTTTCTCACACACATGACCAAGATGTCATGGGAATTCGAACTTGAGATAACTGATATGCAAGTCAATGCCATTTTTTCACTTAGGGTATGAGAATGTTTCTGAAAGAGCTAAAAGTGTTTTATAACAATCAAAAGCACTTTTGACAACGTTTGATAAAGTTTAGAAATGTTTTTGAGTCATAAAAGCGCTTTTGGAAAAGCAGTGCACTTAGATTTCTATGAAAATTTCTAACATCTCTATAATAAAATGTTTTTGCTAAAAACGCTTATGAACAAATTTGATTCCTAGAGACAATCCCAAACGAGCCGTCAAAATGCCTCAACCAGAAGGCAAACTGTAGTATATAGACTCTCCAGAAGCAATGGACCATCAAATGGGAAATTAGTGAAAAACATTCAATCCACCGGTCATCAGCATCAATCCCCATAGATGAAATGCAAGTTGGGTTCAACGGACTCGTCACTCCATAGACCCCGCTGAGAAAAGTCTCTCCTTCCCCGGACCCTTTGCTGGGTCTGAGAGACTCCATTCGGATCCATCCGACCGTCACTGACCTTTGGAAAAGTCTCAACGTCCTTAAACTCAAACCTCCAGAGGCCCCAACCAAACCATCTCCAACCAGCAACCAGCAACCAGCAAACATGGCCGATCACGACCACAACCACCACCACCACCAGCACAGGCCTCACCGCCTCTCACTCCCTCAACGCCCCACCACACCCACCACCTTCGCCGCTACACCCACCGCTTTCCCCACCACACCCACCACGTCTAGACAATACCCTGTTTACCCTTTCTCATCGTCTTCAACCCCAATCGCAACTCCGTCCAAACATCGCCTCTCTTCTCTCAACCCCAAACCATTCAACCCCAACAACAACAGCAAGTCCTCTCTTTCATTTCTCTTCTTCCTCCTTCTCTCTCTTCGCTCCCTCTATTCCCTCCTTCCGTTTCTTCGCTCCTCCCCTTCTTTCTCTCTCTTCCCCTTCTCTTTCCTTGTCTCTCTCCTCTCTTTCCTGCTAACCCTCTCTTGCTCCCTCTTCACCTCCTCCTCCTCCTCTTCTTCCAAAGACCCTTTTCACCAAAAGCAAAACCAACCCATCTTCTCTTTCACCCTGATCACGCAATCCCAGCACAGACTCTTGGTCGCCAAATCGATTCTTCTCGCCGTCGTCTTCCTGCTTCGTTTTCAGGCGCTTCGATATTGCGGCACCGCCGCCTTGATCCTCGCTGAATTGTCCGGAAACGTTGCCGCACGGTTCCTGGCCGAGGGCCGGGACTCGAATCTCGGTGGCGATCGGAATCGGTCCTCCAAGGTTCGTGGGTTCCTCGCTCTGTTTTCTGGGTTGCTTTTGTTATCTTTGAGTTGGGATCGGATTGAATGCTTCCCATTTTCTGCTAAGTCGGTTGAAAGTTTGGGACTTTCGGTGTTTCCAAGAGTGGATTGTGTTAGAATTTGGCCAATGTTGCTTCCATTTCTATCTGGGTTTTTGGGGTGTTACGAGCGTGTTTCGATGAATTGGGGGACAATTAGGCAATTAGGTCGGAAGCGGGTTCGTTTAATTTCGTTGTTCTTTACAACTGTAGTGCTTTTCGTTCCTGCTGTTGTTAGTGTTTTCATGTTTGAAGCTGAGGGAGATGTAGTTTCCATTGGAAATTTGGCTTGGCCTCTGGCAAACACTGTTGTTTTTGGGGTGCTTCTGAGTGAAAGTTATGGTGATGACAAGTCAGTGAGTTCTAAAGATTTCCGGAAAGAGTATTTGGTTACATTTTTATGCACTCTTGTTTTGGAGTTGTTTTATTTTCCTGAACTATCACTTTGGGGACTATTGCTCTGTGGTTTGTTACTATATGTTGCTGTTAGGGAATTGGATCCTTATTACTCAAATTATCTTGAACTGGGGATGGAGTCTTCTGAATCATTTACTACTGCCATTATGAAGCCTATTAGACACATTTTGAGTGAGAGGAAGTCTCGCAAGATTGCACTTTTCCTTCTGATCAATACTGCATACATGTTTGTGGAATTTGCTGCTGGGTTCATGAGTAATAGTCTAGGGCTGATATCAGATGCCTGTCACATGTTGTTTGATTGTGCTGCCCTGGCAATTGGGCTATATGCTTCGTATATTTCACGTTTGCCTGCGAATCATCAGTTTAATTATGGTCGTGGGAGATTTGAGGTTCTTTCAGGATATACTAATGCTGTTTTCCTGGTGTTGGTTGGAGCATTAATAGTGTTGGAGTCGTTTGAGAGGATTTTGGACCCTCAGGAGATATCAACTAGCAGTTTATTAGTTGTTTCAATTGGAGGGCTTCTTGTCAATGTGGTTGGCTTAGTCTTCTTTCATGAGGAGCATCATCATGCTCATGGTGGATCTGGATCATGCTCCCACTCCCACCATCACCAGCATTCGCATGATTCTGTTGGACATGATCATGGAGGTCATGGGAAGCATGAGGAGTCTATACCTATTTCCATTGAATGCCATGAAAATTCATGTTCCGGCCATGATGACCATCATGATCACCAACATGGCAGTTATATCGGTGCTAAAGACCACAATTTCGGGAGCAATGAGTGCCATGATCACGATGGCCACAGTCACCAGCACGACCACTGTGGACACAGTCACCAGCACGACCACCATGGACACAGTCACCAGCACGACCACCATGGCCAGAGTCACCAGCACGACCACCATGGCCACAGTCACCAGCACGACCACCATCGCCACAGTCACCAGCACGATCAACATGATCACGCCCACCAGCACGATCAACATGATCACGCCCACCAGCACGATCAACATGATCACGCCCACCAGCACGATCAACATGATCACGCCCACCAGCACGATCAACATGATCACGCCCACCAGCACGATCAACATGATCACGCCCACCAGCACGATCAACATGATCACGCCCACCAGCACGATCAACATGATCACGCCCACCAGCACGATCAACATGATCACGCCCACCAGCACGATCAACATGATCACGCCCACCAGCACGATCAACATGATCACGCCCACCAGCACGATCAACATGATCACGCCCACCAGCACGATCAACATGATCACGCCCACCAGCACGATCAACATGATCACGCCCACCAGCACGATCAACATGATCACGCCCACCAGCACGATCAACATGATCACGCCCACCAGCACGATCAACATGATCACGCCCACCAGCACGATCAACATGATCACGCCCACCAGCACGATCAACATGATCACGCCCACCAGCACGATCAACATGATCACGCCCACCAGCACGATCAACATGATCACGCCCACCAGCACGATCAACATGATCACGCCCACCAGCATGATCACGCCCATCAGCACGATCAACATGATCACGCCCACCAGCACGATCAACATGATCACGACTGCCAGCACGAACACCATGACCACGCCTGCCAGCACAAACACCATGACCACGCCCACCAGCATACTCATTCTTCTGAAGGCAATAAAGCGGCAGAATCTCACATTCAAGGGGCAGGTTTTCAGCTGAAAAAACTGCCAACTGATGGAGAAAAAACAGCTAAGCATCAGCACCACCACATTGACCACAACATGGAAGGAATATTTTTGCATGTTTTGGCTGACACCTTGGGAAGTGTCGGAGTTGTTATATCAACTCTCTTGATTAAGTACAAGGGATGGCTTGTTGCTGATCCTGCCTGCTCGATATTTATTTCTGTCTTGATTATATCTTCAGTTATCCCATTGCTGAGAAACTCAGCAGAAATCTTGCTCCAAAGAGTTCCCAGAGCACATGAGCAGGATTTGAGAAAAGCTCTTATTGATGTTAGGAAGATACGGGGGATTTCTGGCATTCAAAACTTGCATATATGGAGCTTCACCAACTCAGAAGTAGTGGGGACTCTCCATCTTCATGTTTCAACAGACATTGACAAGGCTTCTACAAAGGCACAGGTGTCACATGTACTGTACGAAGCTGGAATCAAGGATTTAACATTGCAGTTGGAATGTGTTGAACAATAGCTTTATAACTTTTGACGATTTTCTTCTCCTTGACAGAACTAACTGTGAGAGAGTAGGCCATTTGTTGTGGACTCGAAGTGATTTTCTGAATATTGCCTGATAAACTCCTTCAGTGAGCCTGTTGGGGATTACAAATGGGTCCTGCAGCGCTTCTTTTGTCATCGTTCTGGAACTCTTCATGTACATCTTGAAGCTCAGAAAAACGTGAGATAGATGTTACCAAAGGTTAACAGGATTATGATTCCAATCTTCTCTGCTTGGAGATCAGCATGCATTGCATTGATAGCTCGTGTTTGTGGTTCGTGTAATTGTGTTTGTGTGGGCATGTAAAGAAACATGCAAAGAGATTGGATGTGTAACTTTTTTTGGCAGGCAATATAATGTAGTTTGTGGTTCATATCCATGAATCATTTGGAGTTTCTTTTTCTTTGGTTAAAAGCACGATTTAAAGATGCATCACCTGCTGGCATAATAATCTACCGGGACGTGGAAATTCACAGAATGGATGTAATTTCGATCAGTCATGTCTGTAATTTTTCCATACAAAACCAGTAAATTTACTTGGTTTCGTGCACCTCGTGGGCACTCAATTCCACAAAGACCATTATTAAATCTGCAAGCAGTCGTCTTCTTAGCGAAAAGGACAGAGAAGCAAATAATCGTTTAATGTAGGGATGGCAAGGCGCAACCAAAAACGAGGAAAACGATAACAACTAAGAAAAGAAATGAAAGTATAAAAATTATGACAAAGACCCGCAGGAGAGGACGCTAGAGAAAAGGTTAAAGTCCATCGAAAAAACAATGCATGCATAAGTCCATACTTAACACTTCTGTGTCGACTCAGTGAGTGTCTGTGTGACAGTTGACTTAAACATTGCTGATCATGGCCGTCCCTGTTCCTTCTCGTCAGCTCTTCATCGCCGGCGAATGGAGAGAACCACTTCTGGAGAAACGGATCCCAATCATCAACCCCGCCACTGAAGAGATTGTAGGTATGTAGTCTTTCATTTCAACTTCGAATTATATACGTGTACAGAAATCATGGACCAAGTTTAATTTCAGCAGCTATTTGCTCTTTTCTTTTCTTTTTTTCAGGGGACATAGCAGCTGCTACTGCTGAAGATGTGGATATGGCAGTGGATGCTGCTCGCACGGCGTTCTTCAGTAATGAAGGGAAGGATTGGTCCTCTGCTTCTGGTGCTTATCGTGCGAAGTTTCTTCGTGCCATTTCTGACATGGTATATATTAATCTCATGATCATAATTGTTGATATACAGAACAGCTCCGCAAATTTTTTTTTCTTGACCTTCTTGCTATTTCCATGCAGATTTTGGAGAGAAAGTCTCTACTGGCCAAACTTGAAACAATCGACACCGGCAAGCCACTAGATGAAGCAATATCTGATATGGTATATACACTAGTACAGTCTGTTGTTGTATATTAGAGTATGGTTAATTTATCAAATTTTTTCAAAGTTATTAAGTGGGCTTAATTATGTCCAATTCAGGAAAGTTGTGCTTCTTGCTTCAAGTATTATGCAGAGCTTGCAGAAGCATTGGATTTGAAGCAAAAAATTACTGTGTCTATACAACAACAGTCATTCAAGACCCATGTCCTTAAGGAACCCATTGGAGTTGTTGCCCTTATTACTCCTTGGTATCTTTTACTTATTCCATTTCCTTTGCTCATTTATTTGCTTTCCTCATTGTTTTACCTTTTATTCTGAAAATTGTGCTTTTTTATAAATGGAAAAAATATAGTCAATTAATTTCATCTGTGTGCTGAAGGAACTACCCTCTTTTGATGGCTACCTGGAAGGTCGCTCCTGCTCTGGCTGCCGGATGTACTGCTATACTCAAGCCATCCGAATTGGCATCTGTGTGAGAGTTTCACACCTATTTTTCGATTGTTCTTCTCATTATGTTTCCTTAACTAGATTCTGGGTTTGTCATCCTAATATTATTTGCAGGACTTGTTTGGAGTTGGCAGAGATTTGCAGACAGGTGGCTCTTCCTTCTGGGGTCCTTAATGTTGTGACTGGGTTAGGCTCAGTAGCTGGTGCCCCTATGTCATCTCATCCTCATGTTGACAAGGTCTGGCTTTTAATTTCCGTTTCAAATTGTTCAAAACTTTGAAAAAAAACCCTGCATAAGTAACTCATGCAGTTTCTTTCCAATTGTATCTTGATCTGGTGAAATTAAGTAACTTTTAGTATTAATCAGATAGCATTTACTGGAAGCACAGCAACAGGAATTAAGGTCATGACAGCTGCAGCTCAATTGATCAAGGTCTTGTCTTACACTTTTTGAATATGCAAGTATTGCAATCTCCAAAATCACAAACATCAATTCTCTTTCCCTCGTCTTCTGATCTAGTATATAGCTGCTTGCAGCCTGTATCATTGGAACTTGGTGGAAAGAGTCCAATTCTTGTGTTTGAGGATGCAGACCTTGATACTGGTAAGTGTTTAGGGGAGGGAAAAAAATTTACTTTCTCATAAGATGCTGGAAGCTTCATCACATTATATTTTGGTTACTGGTAGAACGTTTATCATCTTTGAGAGCCTAAGCGTGATATAACTGAATAATGGAACAGCTGCAGAATGGACTATCTTTGGCTGCTTTTTTACAAATGGTCAAATCTGTAGTGCAACATCTCGTCTTCTTGTTCTTGTAAGCATGAGAAGCAGACCATTTTGTTGTCTCCCTAAACCCTAAACCCCATATTCTTTCTAGTTAAGTATCAACAATTCTCATAACACCCCCCAATTATGTCAGGAAAGCATTGCAGCTGAATTCTTGGAAAAACTTGTTGACTGGAGTAAGAGCATCAAAATCTCTGATCCCATGGAAGAAGGTTGCAGGCTTGGTGCCATTATAAGTGAAGGACAGGTACTAATGTTGGCTGATTTTAGCTCTGTCACTCCATTTTTCCTTTGCATGCAACAAAGAGTGTAGTGAAGGACGACGTTTTATTTTAGCAGAGATGTCAAATTTGAGCCCTACTGAATAACAATTGTTCTGTTTTCTTTAGTATGAGAAAATCATGAGTTTCATTTCAACAGCCAAGAGCGAAGGTGCAACCATTCTATATGGAGGTGCCCGTCCTCAAGTAAGAACCTGTCTGATTCTCACTTTCTCAAATATAAATATCATGCCAGCATCTTCTCTTGTAGTCTTCTAAACCACATTGTATGGATGAATGGCAGCATCTTAAGAAAGGGTTTTTCATTGAACCAACAATCATAACAGATGTTAGCACCTCAATGTCAATTTGGAGGGAGGAGATTTTCGGACCGGTTTTATGTGTCAAAACATTCACTACGGAGAATGAAGCCATCGAACTAGCAAACGACACTGAGTGAGTAAAATGTTTTTGCTCCAGCACTTGTCTGCAAACTTGTTTTTCCCTATTTGACAAGCAACCAATATTTGATGCCTCTGCCTCTGCCTCGTAGCTATGGCTTGGGGGCTGCTGTGATTTCAAAGGATTTGGAAAGGTGTGAACGCATCACCAAGGTAAGACGATCATACGTAGCAATCTCAAGCTGAGGTTTACTTACATATATCTTGCATGTTTCCAGAGAAACATTTGTTTTTGGTTTATGTTTTGCAGGCTGTGCAGTCAGGGATTGTGTGGATAAACTGCTCACAGCCCTGCTTCAATGAAGCCCCCTGGGGAGGCAACAAGCGCAGCGGAATTGGGCGTGAACTTGGAGAATGGTAAGGCACATTCAAAGTTTCCAAGCAAGGGCTTCCCTTACTTGGATGGTTGTATATAACTTCTTGTGTAATAATTGATTGTATGCTGCACTTGCAGGGGACTGGAAAACTACTTGAGCATAAAGCAGGTCACCCACTACACTTCTGAAAAGCCATTGGGGTGGTATTCTGCTCCCCGAAAGCAGTGAAGAAGGGAAAATTAGAAGAAGAAGAAAAAACACCAACGTAGTGAAGAATGGAAAATAGAATATAAATGTAATAAATGTAAGAAAACAAAATGTTTATTACAACTATTATGTTGGATGCACTTGATGTTGTAAACTTGAAGTGGTAAATGGATTGCAGCTCAAGTGATGATAAGCATTTATTCTGCATCCGAGGTTTTAGGTTCAATTCTCTCATCTCTCAATATCGCTTGTATAAATTGAAAACAAAAACTTGAAGTGAATGAACTCTAATTTTTATGTGTTTTAAGGAGAAATTTTTTACACTATAAAATGGGCCTCTCATTTCTAAATCAAACTCTCAAGGGCTTTACACAAATTGGCACATTTTAACATAACATTTTATACAAATACTTATTGGAGAGAAAAACCCTCAACTAACCCCTTGTCATTTTTTAAATGATTCTTAAGAAATTATAATACACTAAGAACCAATTAAAAAATGACAAGGGACTAATTATGAATTTTTCTCTCAAAATTAGACTCTTTAAATTTTTTATTATATAAAATGTCATGTTATAATGAACATATGTATAAAAAGCTAAACTCTTAAATGCCTCACGGCACGTGCTTATAAACGTACCTTGCGCCTGACGACGTCGTGTAGGAGTTCGGTTACAACTTACAAATAATATTCTCCATTGGGATCCGCTTCGGTAAAATTATTGATTAGTTTGCAAGTCGCACCACAGAAGCAAAAAGTCGCGAAGTGCTTTTAAAACGTACGAGTTTGGACAGTGAGTCAGTAACGAACTCTTCCTTCAAAGCTTCAAGCTTTCAACTTCTCTGGACATCAGTTTAGCCTATGAACGCTTTGAGCAGCTGAGATCTCCTCGCCAGCTCAAGATCTAGGGTTTCCGTTTCTGTTTCCGCCATGGAGGAGAAGGTAGTCGCTGTAATCATGGTGGGCGGGCCAACCAAAGGTATTGTTCATGTAATTCATTCTATTTTTTATTTTTTATGAAATAAATAAAGTCTTCAATTTTGCTGGTTTTTGTTCTGTTTGTTCATCTGGGCAGGCACTAGATTTCGGCCTCTTTCATTCAACACTCCGAAACCGCTGTTCCCATTGGCTGGGCAAGCTATGGTGCACCATCCCATTTCAGCTTGTAAACGGGTTGGCTTATGGCTTTCTTAATCTTCAACCAAAATCCCGTCCAAGATTATGGATTTCAAATTTAACAGAAAATTCTGAATGCTTACTGTTATTTTACAGATTCCCAATTTGGCTCAAATCTTTTTAGTTGGATTCTATGAAGAGCGGGAATTCGCACTGTATGTGTCTTCCATCTCCAATGAGCTCAAAGTACCAGTGAGGTACTTGAGAGAGGACAAGCCACATGGCTCTGCCGGTGGCCTTTATTACTACAGAGATATTATCATGGAAGACAGCCCGGTTCGAATTCTCTGCTCAACTCTTCTTCGTTTCCACTTTTATGTATTAATAAGATTTTACTTAATATAATGTTGTGTTTGTATTTTTTGGGCAGTCGTATATCTTTTTGCTGAATTGTGATGTTTGCTGCAGTTTTCCACTACCAGACATGCTTGGTGAGCTTTGTATTCCTTATTCTGTATGTTAACTAGGATTTTATTGGTTTAATTTATGGATAAGACTTGCGAAATGTAATTGCTTCTATTGCTTTCTGTTTTTGTTTATTCTTGCAGAGGCTCATAAAGGATATGGTGGGATGGGTACAATGTTAGTAATCAAGGTTTGTGTGTTGACAAACTGCTTGAATGGTTGAATAAATGTTGCAACTCTGGTCCATATTTCTGAAGCTCTTTCCTCTTCGTTTTTCATTATCCATTGTTGTTTTTTTTCATTTTCCTTTTTTTGGGTTTATCTCTAGGTTTCTGCTGAATCTGCCAACCAGTTTGGGGAGTTGGTTGCTGATCCAACGACCAAAGAACTTTTGCATTACACCGAGAAACCAGAGACTTTTGTACGTACATGCTGTAGTTAATTTCCAGATATTGCTCATATAATCGGTGGTTGGTGACCCCAATTGTTCATTTATATTTTCTTGTTCCGAGCCACATTTTGTAAAGGTTATCTGTTTTCCAAAATGCAGGTGAGTGATTTGATAAACTGTGGTGTTTATGTATTTACTCCAGACATTTTTACTGCCATTCAAGATGTCTCCACTCACCGAGAGGGCAGAGGTTGCTCTTTTTCTTTATGGAATTATTCGTTGTATGTTCATTTGCACCTTGGATCATCTGCATGATATGTAATATCCACATTATCTAATGAATTGGAAATGGTGCATGCCGCGTTGATTGACTTTCCTCCATATCTGATTGTTTAATTCATTCTTCAATATGCCAGAAAATTTCTCCAATTTCTGGGAGTGTGACTTGTATTTTTTTAATTGCAGCTAATTTACGTCGCATCTCCAGCTTTGAAGCCCTCCAGTCTGCAACAAGGTTGGCCTCTTTCTCCTGGTTGCGTATTTTGAATAATGAACTGATAGCTATTTCTCCTTTAAATTTCCATTTTGCACAAAAAATGATTGCTAATTGTGTCAGAAGTTGCAACATGTTTTTCGGTGCATATAAATTGCAACATGCTTTCCAGATCGTTTCTGTTGTGATTACCTGTTTATAAGTTATGATATTTTTTGTGTTAATACTAGAAGAAGGAATTTTTGTTTGTAATCCCCTGGAATTTCATCTATTGGGGCATGAAGGCAATATTACGTGTGTTTAGAAATAGAGTTGTTATTGCTCAAAATTCACTGTATTATTACATCATTTTAAGCCTCTGTTGGTGTCAGTTTTCATGTTGATAGACACTCTTTTCAACAGGACTCTTCCTACAGATTTTGTCAGATTGGATCAAGATATTTTGTCACCTCTTGCTGGAAAGAAGCAACTCTATACATATGAGACCAAGGATTTCTGGGAACAGATAAAGACTCCAGGGTAGAGTAATTTTTCCTAATAGCGTCATTTAATTTTCGTTTTCCTTAACCTCTCGTACTATCATTTGCCTTATACTAATCCTTGTGTAACATTACAGAATGTCTTTGAAGTGTTCGGGTTTGTATCTTTCTCAATTCCGAATTAACTCTGCACATCTTTTAGCTACTGGAGATGGTACAAAGAATGCCACAGTTGTTGGTGATGTTTATGTTCATCCTTCAGCAAAAGTGCATCCAACTGCTAAGGTAGTTCCACTTCCATATCATCTATTACCATTTGTTCTGTCCTTTTTTGCGGTTGCATGTATATATTGTAGATGAATATTGAAGTAGGACGGTGAATATAGTGGATGCAGCATAATCCCTTCTAAAGTGTGAGTTACTTTTGTGCACAGATTGGTCCCAACGTCTCTCTTTCAGCAAATGTTCGCGTAGGTGCAGGGGTAAGGCTTATAAGTTGCATTGTCTTGGATGATGTGGAAATCAAGGTATTGAAGTTGGTATCCATGGATAAACTAGAACTACAATGTCATGGGACTGTTTTTTGAATTTATCCAAACTTAAATGTTCTTTTTCATGACAGGAAAATGCAGTTGTCATACATGCTATTGTTGGATGGAAGTCATCTATTGGCAAATGGTCGCGTGTCCAGGCATGTCTAACGATGTAGTTGCATCATGTCATAATAAAGTCTGTTAGATCACCTCAATTTGAGAGAGATCAATCTCAGCTAGGGATAAGGAAAATTCTCGAAATACAAAAACTATTTTGAAGTGAAAGATTAAAAATAATTAAAAGTCAAAGAGAAATGTCAGTAAACAGAACTCCATTCTTGACCTGGAAATATAGTTTTATTTCCGACATGATCTGAAGACTGATTCAAAAGTTTCTCTGGACTTGTGGCTAACTAAAATTTATTTGATTGGTTTAGGCTGACGGAGACTACAATGCAAAACTTGGAATCACAATCCTTGGTATGCATGCTTGGTTTCTCATGTCTTTCTTCTATGATTTGACACTGTCAATGTGCAAAGAAATTTTAAAGCAATTGACCAATTTGAGCTCTCTGTTATTCTTTTGGCAGGAGAAGAGGTGACTGTCGAAGACGAAGTTGTGGTGATTAACAGCATTGTTCTCCCAAATAAGACTCTTAATGTTAGCGTACAGGAGGAAATCATTTTGTAATACTGAAGAGATAGATTGCAAAAGCTTCCTGGTTTTGTTTTGCTGCTCGTGTGCATGCCAGAGCTTTTTGCCTAAATTATTTTGGTTAACCATATTGTATGATTGAGCTACAAGAACAGCTAGGCAACATTTTTATTCAGACAGCAACAGAAAAGAAATTTTTTGTTCTGGTTCCGTGTGCACATGCATTTGTATCAGATAGCTAAAAGTTAATATTTTGTCGAAGGAAATGTTTCTGAATATTTTCTTGCAATTTGTATTCGAATTCAGTGATAAACATTAATAATATCTATTTCAAGGCAAGCATTAGAAAACAAAATTTTAGTTGCATACTTCCCATCTTGCTGTTAAAACTAGATAAAAAAACAAAAAGCTTCAGTAAGAAGTGTGTTGTGAAAAATCACGCAGTAGGATATGACCAATTTTCAACTGTCAATCTTCAGACTTCATTAATAAAGCACGACTCTAGAACCTCAGACAAAGTCATATATGAAACAAAAGCCAAATGCTAGTCCCTCGCTACCCTTTTTGAAGAGGTAAACACAAATGCTAGTCCCTCATCTCATACAAGTAATCCCAACCCAAATATCAAAATTATCTCACATAATTGTTAGCAGCAGTTTTACAACAAAAAGAATCCCGGGGGCATGTCTTGCAGTTGACTTGCTCACAAGGGCAACCATGGATGGTTGCTCTGACTGCATCACTACTCGATTAACTTGTCTTTGCCCTGACTCAGCAAGATGTATTGAAATAGTAGCAAATATGTGCTCCCAGGTTGATCATGCTGATAGCGGGATATGAAAAATACTCAATTATTTGCTACTAAAACCCATCGCTGCAGCATCCATGAGAATACGGTGATGAAATGTACATCCACTGGTGTGGCCGTAATTCTAACTTGTACGCCTGTATTTCCATGGGAGAGATGAGGACACACCGTTTCTCTTAGCTATGAACACCATTGAAGCAGCAACAGAAACGAAATCAGTTGCTAGTACATTCATTTGTGAGGCCGCAATTCTAACTTGTAAGCCTGTACTTCCATTGGAGAGATAAGAACGCGTCCATCTTGAGCAACATCTCCAAACTGCTCAGTATACCCAAGCATATCTGTGTCTTCGTGCAAAAGATTTAAGGAAGTGGCTCTTGCATTCAATACTGAAAGCTCCTTGAACATGTAAAACAGATTCACCGTCTCATCAGCAAATCTAGTGCACCCTGATCTTCCCCTCCGACAATATGAAGAGTCCCAATTCTGTCTCTGTAAAATTAGGACAAACCTAGAATCTTCGAGAGGCTGCTGCGAGTATTTTAAAGGTTGGGGAACCTTAAAACTTACAATATGCAGATCACAAGGTAAGGGAGCAGCTAAAGGGGAGAAAAATCTTGGGGGTGGCTGCACTGATAACTCCTCTGGCTTCTTGGCAATGAATGCATGTAATGGATAGTTCAGGTGAGCATTGACACGATGAGAAAGAAGAGAGGGGCTTAAGGGCAATGGGTTGGAAACTGGGTTTGATGTGGCTGAAATGTTAGACTCCACAACAATGTGGAAGACTACATTCATTGCACGGTTATCCATCACTCCTTGTCCAAGACCTCGTCCATCATCTTTTACCAAACGACGGTCCAGCATAATCTCCAACCATCCATTTTTAAGGCTGGCCACACCCAATGACTGCCTAGAATGAACTGAAAACCTCTGACCATTGGATCCTTGCATGAACGCAAGAGAGGGCATAGGGTAATAATTGCCCTGAGTTGGGATTTTATCATAGGTTTCTCTCCGGCTCATCTGAAAGCCATTTAAATCAGAAAAAAATATTCTTTTGTTATCAATATCTGTTTTGTATCTAACTATCAACTCCTTGTCATTGAAGTCCTGGGTGAGAAGCTCAACATGATACTCCTTCTCAATGAGAAACTCCTGTACGGTATTCTCTCCATTGTAGATACGGGTGCTATGAGAAATGGGGCTCTTCTCCCATGCTGTCTTTGGATAAGAATATACTTCTTGCACCAAAGGACCCTCAGAGATCACCATCTGCCCACCTGCTTCAATGATAGGCTGGGCATCACCATTGGGTTTAAATAAGTAGGCTCCACTTCCCCAGCTAGAGTACATAGCTATTTCTTCACCCACAACATTTTGGGAACCATTTTTATAGCTTATTTTCTGCAATAAACCATGATTGACATTGAAGGTGAGTATTTGATGCCTGTTCTGGATTTCAGCCACATCAACTTCTGCTTTTGAGCAAGCATATGGAGTGGGGCAAGATAAAGACATAGACTTTGAGAAGAATCTTAGTTTTGCTGGTTTGGCCTTTTCACATCCAACAAACCCATTTGCAATGTAATATGTTTGCAAGCCCAGAGCAGGAACAGAAGCCTTCCAGTACACACGATGCCTTCCAGTGAAAATTTTGCTTTTATCATGCTGCAATTCAGGGGATATTTGGCTTTGAACACATGTCCAGTTTGAGTCAAGAACAGTTACATCTGGACGGTTAACAATAAGCATCACAACCTCTTCTCTTGTCTGCCCCAGAGGATTAAAAAACACCACTGACTGTTTAGTTCCCTCACGAGTCATGATTGCTCTATGAACTGGCTGAACATCGTATTTAGATCTCACCTGTTCTGGCTCAAACTGAGAAGGGTTATTGTCATTTTTCTCATGGCGCATTCCAAGCAGTACTTCAATAGCTTTAGACATGAAAATCTGCAAGTCCTGCAAAGAAGTGTGCATCCGAGTCCCATAGTCCAGGACCACATGATCTTTAGCAGTACCAGTTACACCATCATGATGCTGAAAAAGAGCTAAGTTCCTCCTAGCAGCAGCCAACTTGTAGGAGAACCCCATGGGCAATTTTTCACATTGTGCTCTCTGACAGTACCCAAGCAGGAAAGCCATCATCATATCCGTGGTACGAAGTGTTTGCTCTAGTATTCGATCAACAGCCTTGAAAAAAGGCCTCGAAACATAATAGCCACTCCAGTAGTCCTGTTGCCTATCAGCATAAGTAAAGAAGTCACCTGACAAAGAAGGAAAACCCCCAACCTGACCGGAACCAATCTCACCAGGTAATGAGTGATTTATTCTTTCAGCCTCCTCACGAAGGGTCCGGAAGTAATCTTCTAGAGTTCCAAACTTGGCCTCTGTATTTAAACTGGGATTAGAATTTATATAATCAAACAACATCTGATAATTCCTAAACTGAGCTTCAGCTTCATCAATGCTTATGTAGCGAAAATCATCTCCAAGAGGAATAAGAAGTGTATTTGTCCTGTATAGTGTTGATTTCTTTCTATATTGATCTAGTAGTATTAGTGCCCGCTCCTGAACATTTTCCTGGTTTGTCTCTACTGGATGCTCTCCCCACGGACAGAGTTCATACATGAAGCCACGCATTCGAGCAAAGTCGAACTGACAACAGATAGCAGGCTCTGGCCCACAAGTATGTGGAATATCATAAGAATAAAAGGGCATCATGTGGACAAAAATATCAGTAGTTTCATCCACATCCCAGCTCTGCCGCCATACATACTCCAAATTTTTATGCAGTGCAAGTTCCTTCTTCAGCTCATAATGAGTCCTCTGAATAAGCATATTTTCAAAACCCATACGGCGGAGAAGATATGCCATGGTAGGTGAGTAACCAAATGGATCAATCGCCCAAGCATTTTTAGGAATAACCCCTACGGTGTCATTCAACCACATATTTCCTTCTGTCATCTGATACATCAAAGATAAAAGCAACAATCAGTGCCATAAGAGATACATAAAATTGTAACAACTGTTATTAAAAATAAAAACTTTTAACGTACCTGCTCAATGATGGCATAATAATGTGAATTAGCCTGCATGAAGAAGAGAACCAATCTATTACGCTTCAAAAGTATGAATGCACTGGTTACACAATCACTTCATGTACTAGGAGTAGTCTAATCATATGGTAAACTCTGTCAATGGAAGAAAAGACTTATACCCAAATGGGGAAGCATGTGGTTTAAGTTTTGAAATTAAATAATCATGTATGAAACCCTATGAATATGAATATTTATTACCTCATCGTTCATTACCCAGCCACCTCCAACAATTTCCAGCTGACCATTCTTCACCAAATTGGTGAATGATTCCCTTCTGAGGTCAGAGGAGTCCCTCCACCATCTTTCCAGATAAGACATCTCTTCCCATATAAACTTGCGCCGGGTATCCTACACATCCAAGTAAGTCCACTCTACTGAATCTCACACAAACTCATAAAATTTTTAAAAATAAAAACGAAAAACTCAACAGAAATGCAAAAACAAGAGCTTCAATAACTGCTAAAACATAAAAAGGAAGTTGTTTAATAATAACCAAAAAACGTCTTGTAACTTGGGTTCCCTTCATTTCTATAAGGCTCTTTTTAATACTAATAAGTTGAACAATCCATCCAAGCAAAAAGCATTTAAGATAAGACATCAAATTAAAACAGAGAGTTTATCAGAAACTTGAACTGCAAACGGAAACTCGTTTGCACAATAAAAGGCCTCGTAAAATAGGACAGGAACAGAGTGCATTAATCATTTAAAACCAAAAAAAAAAAAGCCATGATAAAACTAACCAAAAGAAGCAAAATTTAAGCTCAGCAAATCCATTGAAAATCAGAAATTAAGACAAACCAGAGCTGTTCACCTTCGAAAGCGTGTCGACAATGGTGTCCAGTATATGCCTGGACTGCCTCTCATAGTACTCTTCGACAGTGAGCTTCCAGCCAGGATCGTTATGCGAATGGGGCACCACAATCACTTTCAATTTCTCAGAGTCCCACTCGTCCCCTTTGTAACTCACCCTCCACCCCTGCTTCCAGGGCCCACCGTCCACATCCGAGAACTCAATCTTGTCGTACAGCTCCTTGGTCGTGATGTCGACGGTGGCGCCCACTGCGGCGTCGCTGCCCGAATCGCCGGCCGAAACGGGTTTGCGGGAAGCGGACTTTCGGGGCTTGGGGAAACGGGTAGAGGATTTGGATTTGAAGTGGGAGGAGAGGGGACTGGGAACGCCGTAACGGAGGATGACGACGAGGAAGAAGAAGATGGAGATCGAGAGGCCGATGGTGAAGAAGTTGGCGAAGATGAAGTCTCGGAGGGGCAATCGCCTGCGGGGCTTTCTGGTGAGCTTGGATTTGGGGTTGGAAGAGGAGGGGAGGAGGGAGTTGGCCCACCCTCCCCGGCGGGTGCTGCCAATGTACGACGAGAAAGCCATTGTCGTTGCTGCTGCTGTTGTTTTTGGGCTTAGGTTAACTGTCTTTTCTGTGTCTGATATTTTATTTTAGTTTTTTGAAAAGAAAAAAAATAGATGGCTTTTGTTTTGTAAAGTGATGAGATTATGTGTCCGTGTTTGGTGGAGGTGCGAGGAGATGGAATGGGATCTCAAATTCAATTCTGAAGCTCAAGAAGCGGAGAGGATGAAGGGAGAAGAAAATGAAGAGACGACCGACTTTACTCTTGTTGGTGGTTGTGGTGGGTGGGGCCCGTTCTAGTTGTTCTAGTTAGTCCCGCCAATTAACTCTAGATTTTTGCCACTCTAAACACTAATCACGAATTGAACAAATTATCGTGTGGTATTGGAGTCTGGTAGGTGGATTATCGGGTGACATAATCGGTTTATGTGTTATAATATGAGTACATGGTATAGTGAAAAACTATGGCCCTGTTTGGTGGGCTGGACTGGACTGGATTTTTCCAATTAAAATGGATTATAGTCCTAACCGTTGTTTGGTGAATCTAAATAGCACATTGGACTGGTTGTGACTTATTTTTTTGCTCCGGATAAGAATCCATCGTATGAGGGTTTTGTAAACCCAAGCTGAACCATGGGTTTCGAAGCCTCCGCCTCCTCCTTCACATCTCATCGCCTCTGCTCTGCGTCTTTGCTCTTCGTCGCCTCTGCCTCCTCTTCACGTCTCATCTCTTCGTCTCTCTATACGTCGTTTCTCTTCGTCACCTCCGCCTCCTCCTAGTGATTTCATCTCTCTACGTCATTCTTCTTTGCATCTGTTCTATTCGTCTGATGGTTGGTGGCTGACAAAAACGAGTTTTTGTCATTCAATCTTCAGAAAACCGAGATTGTGCAGAAGTTTCGCCTTCAAAATTCAAACCCAAGTGAGTATTTTTTTGTTCATTATGCTAATATTCTGCATTATCTTTTTAGGTTTTGATTTGGGATTTTCTAGGGTCATTGATTTGGGGCTTTCTAGGGTCTTTGATTTGGGTTTGTTCAGATAGTCTCATATCTGTTTGGTTGCTGAAGAAACAAGTGGAAATGAGAATCAAATTGAATCCATTGAATATCACTTTTTATTTGCCTTTCAGAAATCGAAAACCCACCTTTCATTTTGTTTGGTAAATTATTGAGATAACCAACTGCTGAATTTTGAAGGATTGGAAACACAGTAATATATTTGGTTTCATTGGATAGAGTAGTAAAGTAAATGGGTTCTTCTTATCTGTTATTGGTCACCTGGGAGAGGTGGAAATAGATGATTACTGCCTTTTTGCAGATGATGAATGGTTCAAATCTGGTGGTTGAATTGCAGGGTGTTGAGCACTATTAGAATTGCATCTGTTAGAATTAGAGAAACAACGTTTATTTTTGAGTCTGTTAGTTTATGTTTGAGTATAAAAAAAGAAAGTGACAGATTATGATTTTGTTATTGCTATTGCCAATATTGTTAACATGCATGGTTGTTACTTTATGTAGATGTCTAAGGGTAAGGCTAATAGATATGTATGGCAAGCCAATGAAGAGGAAGCATTGTTAAATATCCTTGATGAATTAGTTGCGAGTGGTCAACGTTGTGATGCCGGCACATTCAAAGCGGGAACGATGAAATTGGTAGAAACTAAACTTAGATTATTGATCCCACATACACCTATTAGAGTTAAACCCCATTTGGATTCTAAATTGAAGAGATTGAAGAAAGATTATAGTATTGTTGTTGACATGTTAAACCAAAGTGGTTTTGCTTGGAATAATGAGAAGAAATGTGTAGAGGTTGATAGCGATGAGGTGTGGAATGCTTATGCAGAGGTTGGTAATTCATCATTCTATTTTTTTGTTTTTTCTAATTTAGTTCATGTTTTGGTTGGATTAACAAATCTTAGTTTTATTTTATTGCAGCACCATAATGATGCTGTTGGGTGGAGAGATAAATCTTTTGCAAAGTTTGATAGGCTTCGAAAAGTATTTGGCAAGGACCGTGCAACCGGAAATTCTGCTTTAGCTCCAGCTGAGATGGTTCTAGATGATGATGATGAAGCATCTGAGAGTAACATTCCTGATGTACAGTTGGATGGGAGCCATCATACTGATCAAACTCAAGCTCAATCCAAATCATCATCATCAAGAAACAAAAGGGTAAGACAAGGAAATAAAATGGTTGATGGTTTGGGAAGAATTGCCAATGCATTTGAGAGTATGATGGAGAACTCTGATGCCAAAGTGCAAAGGTTGGTTGAGAGCTTAAAGGAGCAGAATGCAGATGATGATCTTAAATTTGTTGGAGATGAGTTAAAAAAGATGGAATTTTCTATTTCAGATAGAATCTCTTTGCTGACTTTATTTACTGATTCGGCAAAAGTGCGTGTGTTCAAGACATTAGATGAGGGTGATGATAGGTACGAGTATGTGACGACACTTCTTAGAGATTATAGATCTCGTTGTTGAAACGTAGTTTTGAGTTGTTATTTTGTTATATTTTGATGGGCAAAGGCCAAATAGGTATTTTAATTGCTTTGTTAAATTTGGATATGTTTTGAGCTATTTTAGAATTAGCATGTGATGGGGCTTTCTAAAATTTAATTATGTACATTTTTTTAATTAATTTTTTTTTGGATGAAATTAATTTTTTTATATTAAATAATTTAATATGCACTAAAAAAATTAAATTTTTTTTGGAGGTCCAGTTCAGTCCAATCTTGTCTTGTACCAAACAGTGCACTAGACTTAAGTCTAGTACAGTCCAAAGTTAAGTAAAGCACCAAACAATAGACTCAAAGTCTGGTCCAGTCCTAACCAGCCCAGTCCAACACTCCAAGCCCAATCCAGTCTTGTCCAATCCGGCCCACCAAACAGGGCCTAAAGGTACAGAGTGCCAATAAGGATTAGTTCAATTGATAAGGTATCTGCATTGTGTATAACTCTATTAATTAGTATTCGAGTCATGCTACTAGCAGTTCTCGTTGATGAGCGATATGTATACATCCCTTATATTATAACCAATTATGCAACAATACCTGGTACTGCAACACATAGGATGGTTGGATTATGGGATGTTCCCACACTATTGACTTTGATATCTCTTTTGCTATATATTTCATCGGAGAAAGTATTAGAAAAGTATAAAAAAAGTTAAAAAGGAAAAATTGGGGCCAATTGGGCTAAACGAGCTGCAAGGCCCATATCTACTTGGGCCAATTAGAAGAGTGGGCTTATCCTACGTCTGGATTGGCTTTGTCATCATATATCAAAGATCCCGTGCCCAAACACGTCCTTAAGAAACACGCGCTGAGCTGAAGCCTGAAATTTTTGGGACTCTCTCGTCTTCCAAGTTACAAGTTACAAGCGAGCGATAAGCGTTTCTCTGAACAGGACCTCCGATCAGATACGACGACGTGTCCTCTATCTTCCTCTCAGAGGTATGTCTTTCATCCGTTACGGTTCTTATTTCTATTTCGTTTCCCTCGCATTTGAAATCTGTGAGAGAGTTTGTGGCACAAAATTTTCAGATCTACCACTCTTCGTTTATAGATCTTTCACTGTGGACCTTCGAAAATTACAATTGCTTGAATAATTTTTATTAGGTTTTCTTTTTTCGTGGTAATTAACCTCAAATAAATAGTTTCCAGTTCAATTATGACGTTATATAGTTATTTGGATGCATATTCTCCGTGTTCTTGTTCTTGTTCTTATAGATTTGGGGTCATAAGATATGAAAATCAAATGTGGGTTTTATACTGCACAATTTTTGTTTCTCCGAACTGTTAGATCTTCAACGTGCTATGAGTCAATTTTCTCTGAAATTAATAGTTTTGCTGCGTTTTTATTTAATTTTGTGAGTTACTGCTGTTTGTAGAATTATTACCGATAGGTATTATCTGTAATGCAATTATGTGAGAAATTAGTTAGAGGATTATTTCCCATCAATTTTGATATTCGAACCATTGGAATCCAGAGGAAGCGTAAAGGAGACACAGCCAAGAAATTGAAGGAAAGGGGATTTGAGGACTTTTATCACAAGAGAAGAAATCAGTCACGATGCCTGCGCAGAAGATTGAAACGGGTCACCAGGACATTGTCCACGATGTAGCCATGGATTACTATGGAAAGCGTCTAGCGACAGCTTCGTCTGATGCCACCATTAAGATAATTGGTGTCGGCAGTGGTTCACAGCATCTAGCTACATTGTCAGCTCATAGAGGCCCCGTCTGGGAGGTAGCTTGGGCGCATCCCAAGTTTGGGTCACTCCTTGCTTCCTGTTCTTATGATGGCCAGGTGATAATTTGGAAGGAGGGTAATCCAAATGAGTGGCAACAGGCTCATGTGTTTAATGATCACAAGTCATCCGTAAATTCCATTGCTTGGGCACCTCATGAACTTGGCCTCAGCTTAGCTTGTGGTTCTTCTGATGGGAATATCTCGGTTTTCACTGCCAGGACGGATGGTGGTTGGGACACCACTAGGATAGACCAAGCTCACCCCGTTGGAGTAACATCTGTTTCATGGGCCCCATCCATGGCTCCCGGTGCTCTAGTTGGATCCGGTCTGCTTGATCCTGTTCATAAGCTGGCTTCTGGCGGGTGTGATAATACTGTGAAGGTGTGGAAGCTGTACAATGGGATGTGGAAGATGGATTGCTTCCCTGCCCTTCAGATGCACCGTGATTGGGTGAGAGATGTAGCTTGGGCACCCAACTTGGGACTTCCCAAATCCACAATTGCAAGTGCTTCACAGGATGGAACAGTAGTTATTTGGAGTGTGGCCAAGGAAGGTGAGCAGTGGGAGGGCAAAGTTTTGAAGGATTTTAATACCCCGGTTTGGAGGGTGTCATGGTCACTAACCGGAAACTTACTTGCTATTGCTGATGGAAATAACAATGTAACATTGTGGAAAGAATCTGTCGATGGAGAGTGGCAACAAGTAAGCACAGTCGACCCATAGATTTTGTCTTTCCTACTTCGATCAAATGTGTTTTGGTTTGTCAAACTAGAGTGCTTAGTATCTTAGAACAGAAGATGTCTTTTGGTTTTATTTTCAATACTTTGCTTGTATTTGTTAGTGTTTTATTGAATTGTTTTACTTAATGTGAGATGAAATGGTTCAGGTTTCATGTTGTAATCAGTTGGAGTTTATCAATCCTTTGTGTTTTCCATTCCCTCATTGTGTATTTGTATCTGATTTTACCATTGTTGTCTGGTGAAAGGGTAATAATCTTTGAGTTCTGCTCCTTGGTTTCACTTCGGTGGATTACTCAAAGTTATGCCTAACTGCACAGCAAGATTTTTGTTAATCTGAGAATTCAAAATCACAGTTTTCTCTCCCATTAAGGATATAATTGGTCATCAAACATCTATAAGCAGCTGCGCACTGAAATGGTTGTCAAGGAGAGACCTCAGTTGTGGATGACGAATCCAAGGGAAAAAAAAGATGCATAAAGAAGGTATATAAAACGGCCCGTTTGCTGGGGTCAAATCACTCCATTTGTGGTCTCAAAGGTGCGGTGAGGTGGGATCTGAGCCATACACATTACACAATAGCGCTTAGCGCACAGTAGACCAGTAGGACCAACGAAATTCTAAACTACTCTAATGTACAAGAAGTGGGTTTAAGGTCGGGTGTAAGAGGGTGAATACACTATCGATCAAAACCAACTGATCTTATCAATATTTGCTTTCGCTTTCATTAGATGGCTAAACCAAAATGACTTCATCCGCTGTAAATTAAAATGACGAGGGCTGTCTATGCAAACCACCATTACTCGTAAGCAGTGACCACATTCTTCAACCTTATTTCATACTTGGTCCAATCGCAAGTTGACACTCAATGGACGCACTTGATTATATTAATTCCAATTTCTTAAATTCCTGCCCGATATGAATCACGTTCCATTCCAGATAGTCATTAGTGACTAATTACTATTTGGAATTGGGAGCCGACTAATCCACATCCACATGAAAATTTGATTCGCAAATCTCACAACAAAATTGTACTCGCTTCCACGGTGTAATGGTGTACCCAAAGCGTCTGGTCTACCAGTGGTGAATCCGTAATTCGGTTGAAAAACCAGGGGAATCTCACTAACCAACGCGCAACTTACGAAAGCAAACAAAAATGAAAGGGCAAGATAAAGATTCCAGTAGGCACAAGCCACAAAGGCAGAATCATCTCACTCTGTAAGATACACAGAGAGGCGGAGAGCTTGTAATAAAAATAAAAAGCTTACTCTCCGTAATTTCTTGCAATTCATGGCGGCCACAGCCCGAGCCTTCATTCTATCTCGCCTCACCGACCTCTCTCTCAAGCCTTGCCAACCACCGCCCCCGATTTCCCGCCACCTTCTCGTCCGCCCTCTGCTCCCCTCCTTCCGACGGCGTCGTTTAGCTACCAGCTCTTCTCCCGCCGTCAGATGCCTCATATCGGGCGTAGACGGCGGCGGCGTCTCGGACGAGTTCGTTTCGACTCGGAAGTCCGGGTTCGACCGCGGCTTCTCCGTCATCGCCAACATGCTGAAGCGGATTGAGCCTCTCGACACCTCCGTTATCTCCAAGGGCGTTTCGGATTCCGCCAAGGACTCCATGAAGCAGACGATTTCTACTATGCTGGGGTTACTCCCGTCCGATCAGTTCTCCGTCACTGTTAGGGTTTGCAAAGCCCCTCTCGATCGCCTCCTCGCCTCTTCCATAATCACCGGGTAATTCACATTTCTATGCTATCTTTCTTTTCCTTCAAATTTCAATGAATTCGGCGCATAATTGTATTAATTAAACGCGGGTTGGAATTATCAATTAGGTACACGCTGTGGAACGCCGAGTATCGGATATCGTTGATGAGAAATTTCGACATTTCTTCGGAAAATTCTATGCCGTCGGATCGGTCGAAGATTGGTGGGGCATCGGAGATGGCAGAGAGTGTGGAAATCCATAGTATAAATGGCGTTGGGATGAGTAGCGAACTCTTGGATTCAACAGCTCCTCAAGTTTTTGGGGATTTGTCTCCGGAGGCTTTGAATTATATCCAGAGGTTGCAATCGGAGTTGACCAATGTGAAGGAGGTGAGCATTTGCTCTCTAAGTTTCCCACTTTTTTCACATCCACAGTTTCTAGTGCATTTCTTCCAATTGTGACTATCATAGTGAAAATTTTGAATTCTAGTTGGGACAACTTGTTTGTTGGCAATTTTTAGTTTTGAAAGCAAGCTTCATTTTCCTTGGTCTATGAGCTTCGGAAGTTTGGTTTTTGCGCTTCTTCTTTTTTCTTTTTTGTTGGTCCTATATAAGATGCACAATTTTGTTTCTTTTGAGTTAAATATTATGGAGCTTAATTCATTGAACTATCTGGTATTTGGTTTTTTGAGCTTTCTTCAGAATGATTAAAGCATTGTACAATATTTTAAAGCAGAATGTGTTAATGCTTTGTTGCTCTGTCTCAGGAACTGAGAGCTCGAAAGCAGGAAAATGTGCAATTAGAATATGACAGAGGACATAGGAATGATTTGTTGGATTATCTACGGTCCTTAGATTCAAATATGGTGATAATCTCAAATCTGCCTGTTAACTATTTTGTTGCTCTGCTACGGAGTTAAAATTTGTATAGAGTGGAGCCTTATTATAATGCTATGATGATTTGTTTTAACAGGTGACTGAACTATCTCGGCCATCATCATTAGAGGTAGAGGAAATTATACACCAGCTTGTCCAAAATATATTGCAGAGATTCTTTAAAGATGGGACTTCCTCAGAATTTGTGGAAGATTCTGTCCCAGCGAATATAGAGAATGACCTAGATGCTGATGGCGAACTATGTGATACCGTAGGAACTTCACGAGATTACCTAGCGAAGCTGCTTTTCTGGTTAGACTTCTGTCGTTGTCCTTGTTAAATGGCTTGTTTTCTTGCTTGTCCAAATTTTCATTGCAATAACTCACTTCTGGGAACTGTCAATCTTCACATGGGTGATATGTATATCTTACTATCTTGCCAATCGATCCAATTTCCATTAGAGATTGCATTCTAAAGGTTTCGTTTTCTGCTGGCAGGTGCATGTTATTAGGACATCATTTAAGAGGCTTGGAGAACAGATTACATTTGAGTTGTGTTGTTGGATTATTGTGAAGAGAGTAAAGTGGGAGGCGTGTACATTCTTCATGTTCATCTATGTCAACCTTTCTATATCAACTTTTTTGGTTTTTTATGTTCATCTGTATAATTATTCTTCATTCAAATGAAAGCTTTTTATGGAATACCAAATTAGTTCTCGCTTCATGTTCCGACCTCATCCATCGTTTTTTAAATTAACCTATAATGTACATCTAAATTCCATTTGCCTCTGCCAGGGTGTATAGCTGAAATACATAGCAACCAACACAACTTTCGGAATAATTGAAACTGCTCTCCAAAGTCTTCTTCTAGTCAGTATTACTTGCAGGATATCGTATTCTTTTCAGCCTATGAATTTTAAATCTTTGCTTGCAGCTTTTGCGGTTATGTATGTATTTGGGTTGAATTAAAGTTTCAAAATATGGAAATCGTTCTCAAGTCTTCGCAAGTCCAAATGTATATTATAAGTCCTTGTTTCGAAGGTCCTTATATCTGCACTGCCTATATAAAAACATCTGTTAATATATTGATTGGAAGAAGTATCAAAGAAAGTTCTGTCACTTAAAATTATTGTGGAAGTGGTTGTGAGAATGACCGCAGTTCTGAGTTTTATATTTCTGCCCAGCCTGGATGGGATGAAAAGCAATGGCAAAATAGCAAATGGTCAAAAATCTGAGACCAACTTGAGAAAAATGTCGAACTTGAATTGGAACAATGTGTCCCGCAGTTTTCACTCTGTTTACATCTCTGTCTGTATATACATACGGTAAAATTTATGATCTCCTATGTACCAAAGAATCGAAGGAAATCAAACAAAAAATAAATAATCAAAAAAATAATCCTGTGCTACAAAATTGAAAATTGTTGTGTTTGGAGGTGGTGGTGATGTTGAAGATGATGCTGATCGTGGAGATGATGGTGATGGTGTTTGTAGAGATCATAAGGCGCCCACAGAAGATCAACTGGACAAGGCATTCCCAAATCCAGCCTCGACCATGGCTTCCCTCTACCACTCCAATGCAACAAGCTAACAGGACCTGGATGCAAAGACCTGCAACTGTTCACCAAATTGTCACCCCCAAGCCCATGCTGGTTCCATCTATGGTGGATGGCCTCAACATCTCCACCAAAAACCAGTAAAAATGGTGGAAGAGAACCCAGCTCATAAATCCTCCTCTCCTTCTGAATCTCCATCCAATTCTCAATCTTTTTCGTATACTCACCCTCTCTCCACCTCACCAAATCCATCACCATAACACCTGTATTGAAATAACAAGGCTTTTTCCCTTCAAAAACTTTAGAGAGCTCAGAGTCTTTCCAAAACCCATCAGAAAAATACTTGGTGAAATTTGCATGGCAATACTCTGGAGCACCAATCACTCTCGACCCAGATAAAGAAATCTTCCATAGCTTCTGCACATCATCCACAACTATGACATCAGAGTCGAGATAAATCACTCTCTCCACACAGGGGTCGAGCAAGTCAGCTAAGTAGTTTCTCGCGTAGTTCAATGGGTTGTCGAGAGCTTGTCGAATCGAAGACGAAATCAGATTGCTGACGCGGCTTTCCCTGAACACATAAACTCGGAAACTCAGGGAAGGGAAGGTGGATTGGACAATGCGAGTGAGGTCCTGTAAATTGACCAAACTTGAATCTGAGGCGATGAAGTGGAAGAAGGTGTTCTCTGGGCAAGAAGCGTGCTTGAGAACAGAGTGAACTGCCGCCATGGTGCCTCTCAAGTACTCTGAATCAATGGTCATCGCGACGTGAACAAGCGAGGGATTGCAAGCCAATGCCAAGTTCTTCAAATTCAGACCCAAAACAGGGCAGCTCAATCCGTTTGTGTATTCAGGCGCCTCTGAGAATCGCAGACCCATTTGCACGTGTGCGTCGGGAAACGATCGGATTGCATTTGTGGGAAAGGGAATGAAAGAGACGAGGAAGAGAAGCACAGAAATGGGTCTGAAGAAAAGCATCGCTGTGAGGTTTCAGAGCAAGCTGTTTGAGAGCGTGAAACGGAAATGGAAAGAAAGAAGAGAGAAATATGTATATTTGTAGTGAAATGGTCAAAGAGAAAGCGTGGAAAGAAGATTATGGGAAAATGAAAACGCAACACGTCTTTTATTATTATTTCTTATGCGTAACAGAAAACGCGTCTGTAAATTTCGATGCTTTGCCGGTTTGGTTTGAAATTGAATGAATATTGCTGTCGAGGAATTTTCTTCTCGCTTTCGGTCTTTTAGAAACTTCTTTTTTTATTCGGTTGTTATCACTAACGGGTTTTAACTTTTCAGAGGTTTTCATTGGAGTCCTCAAATTTTCAAATCAATCAATATAGTCTTTATTGTTCTCGTTCATACAAAAGTTTGGTCCATCTCGTTGCATTACGTGAAAATTTCAAAATACTCGTTAAAATTGGTCACATGATGGCACATGACGAACTTTAAAACAATATTTTCGTCAAAATACAACCTATTTAGTGCTGACAAAAAGTAATCCTCACGTATTTTGCTTAACAAGGTTATTTGTTCTCTTTGATTGAATCAAAATATAATGCCCTAAATGGAAGGAATGATAACTTTATTAAGCAAAAACGTGAGTTTAATGACAAAGATGAGCACTATTTGTACATAAAGAACTTTTCAAAATTTGTCGTATGATGATACATGATCAAATTTGACGCAAATTTTATCAAAACGCGACAACATAGGTCAGATTAATATGTAGATCAAAAGATAAAAGATCACATTGATTAATTTGTGAGTTTGAGGAGCTGAATGAAGACTTTTAACAAATTCATGGACCATTTATATAAGAAAAAAAAATCATTTTTCTATTTACTTTTCTCATTTGGGGGAAGGCTTCGAGGAGGTTCGTCCTCTGTATGAAGGCATGTGACCACATGCTTTGAACAGCTTGCATTATCATTATTAGGCCTCCTTATTAGTTTTTGACATGTGACCACATGCTATGAACGTTAACTCATTTTATTTTTTAAGCAAAAGAATATTTATTTTACTTGTGGTACAAAATAGAAAAAAGCATTTATTTTGGACCAAAAGAGAAGACAAAGACAATTATTATTTTACTGCTTTTACTTCTCTCAAGTCTCGAATATGGTGGTCTCCTTTTAAAAGAGTCTCGGATTTTGGTCTACGTTTGTGTGCGTGTGTGAATCGGAGTCGGGATTTTCTACATTCAAATGGGACACGACATACTTGCGTACTCATCATACATACGTAGAGTTAGAGACATTTATACACTCTGGTAAGGTAAGTATCTAACATCACCCGCAAAAAGTTGTGACTTGGTGGTTATTTGCCTTGCCACACATCTTGGATCTAGGTCCGAGGTTTTCACAATCTTAGGCCATCTCGGCTGTACTAGCCACCTAGCTTTGTTGGTTTTTTTTGTAGGAAACTATGAGAGAAACTTACATGTAATTCGGTGTGTATATCCGTTTAATTTGGATTGTACTAGCCACCTATAACTTTACTGGTTTATGAGATGAATTTACATGTAACACGGTATATGCATCTCAAGCAGATAAGTTGTTTTCGGAAAGTAGAGTTGACCATGTATAGGATTAATAGATACTTACGAATGGAAATGAGAGAGTTTTGAACCGGAGACTTCTCACACAAAACTAATGCTATATAATAACCTATTTTTACTGACCTCAAAAGATTAGAGTAGAAAAAATGACTAATAGTGTATATTATTATTAGTAAACGAAACCCAGAAAAGAAAAGGGGAAAAAGAAAATAAGAATAACCAACATGGATTCAGATTTTAACAGGTCACATGGACAGATGTACATGGCAGGTGAACGCGGCAACCACCTCGGCCACCAGAAAGAATTGGCTCCACATCCCATCTGGCAGGTCCACAGTAGATGGGAAGAATTCAAACGAATCAAGACAGGCAGAAATATCTGTTCCACCCAGAACTTGAAATATGCTTGCTAGTCCACTTGGCAAGGACTGGCCATAAGGCATCAAAATTCATGCCCACAAAATGTTCATCAGCAACAGACAGACATGGGTTCTCATATTCACTTTCACAGAAGAGCCAAATGACAACAGAAGCACAATCTTTTGACTTCATAAGATGATCCAGAAGAAATATTTTGAAAAAGAGGAGAAAGTACGGCACAACCATAACAAAAATGGTAAAATTGCACAAAAGCCGTTTGATTCAAGAAAATGTAACACACGTAAGAAGAAAGCAGATACACTTGAATTTCTTATTCTGAAAGTTTGTAGCATCCCATGTATTCACATAACCGCATCAGTTTCCTACACCAACATACGCTAAACATCATACAGGAATTGGACTCACCCATGTTCCAAGCTCAGTTACCACCAGGCTGCTTCCCGCCTCTATAACTATACTCGCATTTTTGTTAACTATGATAAAAGTGCAACAGACATGACCAACACGAAAACTAGAGAAAGCCGATATACATAAACTTCAAGAAATACAAACTCTCTTTCTAGGATCTGGTACTCACACTGCAAGATCAAGCTACTCTAAAAGTTGTAGCTCCTCCATTAAAGCCTATAACCCCATTTACACGATCATACTGCTTCCTGCAGCCTGGACATCGCCCATCTGCCTCTAGAATCCTCTTGTGGCAAAAGAGGCAAAGCCGAAAACCACATGAACACGGAAGAAAGCTCGAGTCTGTGACATCTAAATCCTCATAGCATATAGGACATGAAGAAGGCTGGGGCACAATGCTTTGCCATGCCCATGCAATGGCTCCATGCCCGCAATGCCAGTCTGATTGCACCAGGAAACTATCCTGCTTCGGCACATTGGGCAAGCTCTGAGGACGAGAAGCATCATCAGGTCTCCAAGCACAACACGTCGTACGTGACCCAGGAACCATGTTTCTGTTCTCTGGTTTTGATGATTCATCTCCAGGATTCTCCCTAGATAGTTTGGGACTTGTTGGTTCAACTCTGATTTCAGCTTTGGCAGGAAAATCAATAATAGGGCTATGCTTATTGTCATCTGCATTTAAAGCATCTGCCACAGCCTCCCAGTCATCTAGACACCCATCATCAGCATCCTCCTTGCTGTCATTTCCAGAGCAACCACTGCTGCAGCTCTCACTAAGATTCTTCATTGAATCATTACAATCCAAACTGCTTCCACTCGGGCTGTTCATCAGAGACTCCAAATCGCTGTCATGGATGCTCGTATTATCATTCTCTCCTCCTGTTGAACTCGTTTCCAAATTGTCCAATGATCCATTTTGCACATTATCTATTTGCCTAGAGGGTGTAGGTGACCCGCCCCTTCCATCCAAGTTCACCTTCTGCCCTTTATTCTTGACTGCATTACAGACAAAATTTATCAGCATCAAAATTACATAAGAAAAATGTGATAAACTTTCAAAAACTTCTAAACTATTCTATAAAAAGTGAGTGTGAACGTTTTTTGTCCCTTTGAGAGGGTGGGGAGAAGAAATCAGATCATCAAATTTATGTTGATTTCAAATCCAGTATTTGGTTACGTGACCAATAAAAGAAGATAAAGTGTCAGGTGCCACTTCATAAATTGGTTGTGATTCATGAAAGGGGCGAATTTGAATAATCAAGTCAGGAAATAAATAAAAAAGCTTGGCATCTTGGTCTGGTTTTTAGCATTACCTATGTACATTGACGACCAACAACACATTTAGTATTGCCACAGAGACAAGCTTAACTTCAACATTCTACGTAAGAACAATTATGTTAAACTTTAAATAAGAAAATTTTATTTCCTTTTTCATTAAAAAATGTGTGTAAATGTTTTTAACCTCCTCATATTCAATTCGATGCATTTCACAGATGCTAATTTCTGCATCCCAATACAAACTGTCTTGAGAAATTTATGCATCAAGAAAACGAGTGCCACTTTTTTTTATGAAGAAAAACTATAATAGTAGAGACAATCCTAGTGAAAAATCAAAACTTAAACTCGTTTTCGACCAAAAACAGAAGACTTGAATGTTGTTTATTCTCTAAAAGAAAATTTAGAGAGAGATAGAAGAAATACCATGTGAAAGCCATTGTTCACGGCGAACATCGAGCTTACTCTGCTTCAATTTGGCCAACCGGTTTGTCTGAAAAAAAAGATGGAAGTAAGAGCGAGCTCGCAATATTAAAAATTAAAATTCAACGCCAACACAATTTTGTCTAAGAGAACACTCAAGTGAATTTCACGAATGGACCAATTCTTCGTTAAAATTCAAACTTGATATTTGAATTTCCCTCCATTTCCGAGCAAGCACACATGCAGACATGCAGAAGGAGATAAGAGAAAGCGGAGATTGGGAAGGGCCTTACCCTCTTCTTCTTGGCCAAGTCTTTGGGAACAGCAGGAGGGCAGGAGACGGAGCCGGAACTCATTGAGAAGGAAATCAATTTGATTCGTAAAACCCTAACTTGGGAAAACCCAGAGAGATAGATAGTTATGGAGAGAGAGAAGAGATAGAGGATTTTTTATTGGGAAAATGAAGAGAGAAAAATGGATTGCAAAATAGAAATTGGGATTGTGAGAGTAATATAGGTGGATAGGGAGGGAGTGGATATTACGAATTCCCCTGGCTTTGCGTTCCTTCCTCTCCTCTCTCTCCCTCTCTTTCTTTCTTTTATTAACAGATTTCTACGCCCACGGCCCAACACTTCTGCTTGCTGTTTTTATTTCTCGCCTAAATTCCCATAATGCCCTCAAGATCAACCTTATTCACCTGTGTATGTTTTAAGTTTTCAAATTATAAAACAATTCAAATCACTTTTTTTATAAATAAATACAAGTCATAGTATAAAGTATTTTAAATTAATCTAATTTATGGAGAGGGAAACTCGATCTTTGGTGAAGGACGGTGAACGGCGAGTTCACCCTTGCCTATTTCAAATCACCATTTTGTTATAAAACTTTGTTAACTTGCCTAACCCACATCAATTTTAAATCACTATTTTGTTATAAAACTTTCGTTCGTCTTCTGAGTTGTTTTCATTTCTACTGTTTTTCTCCTGTTTTTAGAGTTGGAAATAAAAAAACGATATCTTGAACTAAGACCTTATTTTTTTCAATCCATTTTGAGTTTCCTTCTTCAGATTCAGAATACATTTTTCCTTTTGTGTTTGTAAAGGGATTTTGATTAGAGAAAAAGTTGATTGTAAATATTTGAACGAGCGAATGGCATTTTTGTAAGAATGGTCACGACTTCTAGTAATCTGCTGGCGCAGCTGAAGCCACGAGTGGTATGAGAAAGCAAGCGTGCAGAAAGCTAATCCCTAATCGAGGGGTCCGTTACGTTTGCACATACGAGGAACCACGTGAAAAAAGGCCCGATATCTCTGTTTGCTGGGTTCAATCAGGCTTCGGCCCATCTTTCCAGTCACGCTATCCCCCTGTTGCTGTGTGAGCCAGATTTAGCTTTGCTATTTTTTTCGAACACCACCACCTCTGAAAATATTTGAATCTCTCTCTCTCTCTCTCTCTCTCTCTCTCTCTCTCTCTGATATAAGTAGCCTAGTCCAATAATATAAACGTAATGTTTACTGCATCCATGTATAACATTTATATAATAAGAAAATATACATCGAAATACCATGTGCCAGATCCGTTTTCCAGAGCAGAACAAAATTCTTGATGAAGAATGACTACACTTGTAAGCTATTACTTGTAAAATATTTATCACACTATGTTACATTGAAAAATCATAGAACCTGTTCTACAAAAAATTAATATTCGGGTGCAAAAGAATAATGATGCAGTAATGCCTGCAAAATGCTGGTATGAAACTGCAAGATGGACTTGAAGATCTTAGGATTTGTTAAAGCTCGTGCTTTTCTGCTATTTGACCAATTTGTTACACTTATAGTGTGTTTATGAAGGTGGGGGAAGAAAAAGATCCTATCTATGACAAGATCAAGAACATTAATTAAAATACCTTTCTACGAAATTATCATACACCAACCTTATATACACAACAATGGCTCCTAGGCCAATCTTCAGAACTGAACACGTAACATGTCCCGCCCCACTGTCTACCTTCTCCAGTCTCTCAGAAATCAAGTCGATGACACCTGTTGCAAAAGGCAAGGGTTAATCTCACTCTCAAAACTTGTATACCAGTGGCAGATAAGAAAAGGCATCTTTTCAAGAGTTTCAAAAGCGTTTATCTCATGTCTACCTTTAACTTCCCAATCGCAAAGTAATTTCCTTCTAAAGCTATTATGAGACTGATAAGAATTTGTGGAACCGCTGTACTCTCGACTGATCACAGTATGGTGATCTGGCCCCAGATGGATTTCTCCTTTTCCTTCTCATACGGAAGAAGTAATCTTCTGTGTCCAGAACATAAGAGATCTGCCACATGATACTTTCATGAATAGAACTTCATGGGAAAAAAAAAACATGCATGTAAATATATGCATATACGGTGACTAGTGCTTGCATTGACTTTGACCCCCACCCTCTTCCCAACCACTACAAACCCACAA